TCCCCGCCCCCCCCCCCCCCAGCCCGCAGCACAACTCACCGTCTCAGGCCAACGGCGCGGTAACTCTACTAAGCCAACGGCTACACCTGCGCTTTCCATTGTAATTACTTCCCTCCCGCTGCCTGCCCCTTGCCCTTAGCACAGAGTACGCTGTCGATAGTAAGCTCGAAGGCCCGGTCACGTGAGCAAGGGTAATTGCTATTCCTCGCGGGCGATCGCGGGAGGCACGCGCGACCGATGCCAACCTCGAGAGACTCGAGGCTCAAGCGGAACTTTCACTGCCTCGGCCTGACAATGACCATATAAAAGCGCAACTAGGCGCTCCTGTGAATATGGAGGCACGATGAATCCAACGCTACATTAGTCAGATGAATTGACAAAAAGGGAGTCTTTCGTAAGTCCTGCGTAATGCATTTCTCGCGCTCGAAACAATGTTGCCGCGGCGACGTGTTGATCCTAGCTAGATATCCGGATCCCGGTCCCTAATCCATTTTTCAACCTCTTCTTACTTGCCGTGCGCATGATTTATGATTAACTTTGTGGCGCTCGTTTGTAATGCTCCTGGCATTGGACCGTATTGATAATTACAAAGTGGCACGCGTAATCGCTGCTTGTGATGTTAAGTCCAATGGCGAGTAAAAAATCTTTTGCTTCTTTTTTTAATTATTCGCCGCTACGTTGGATATTATCATCGGGAATATTAATAGTTAATTTTCACATTTGGGATGTAGAAAGAAATAATTGATAATTTGCTGCTATTTTGTACAGAGAGAGAGAGAGAGAGAGAGAGAGAGAGAGAGCAGCAGAATTTTGACGAAGAATTGGTAATTTGACTAAGAATTGGCTGTAGTATTGAAAAGTTAGCACTCAAAACATCGTTAAATCGAAAATATTTGTCATATATATATATATATATATATATATATATATATGTGCGTGTGCGTGCGCGCGCGTGTGTGTATTGTCATACATTGTATCATAGATTGTCTTTAAACAATTCACGATACGATTAATGAATGCGAATAAAATTATAAATCTTTATTGCAATATTTCGTGCATTGATTTTTCCCAATTTCCCGATTAGACGGAAATTAAAAGTATTATGCACGACTGATGATGTAACATGTATTTACTATGCATGCATTATGTAAACATTGTAATTAGTTAAAATTTTACATCGATATGCCATTGTACGATGCAAAAAAATCGAGTTACATAAGTTCAAATGACTTAATATTTACTTGATGCGAATTTATTTATTTATACTACATAACAGATGTATGTAGATATAATAATGAATAATTTCTAATATCCTCGTTTGTTAATTTTAGTTTCATAATTCAGAAAATTTTTTTTTCCATTCTATTTTCAACTAAAATTATCATAGAGCATAAAGCTGTATTTAGTATGAATGCACTTTTAATTCTTCGATTAGTCAATCATTATTATTCATGGAACATTTTAATAACCTGAAATTTTCCAAGAGTATCGATGGAATATCGCTCGTTACTAAAAATCACAATGGATTTCAAAAATTTAGACGAGAGACATTTTCGTATCTATTTTCTAAAACTCTGGCCTGTTCTTCAATTCAATTTATACATTACCTAAGATTATTGTGTGAAAGAGAAATTTCCGTCGACATTTACAACTTCCTAAATACCGGAATTTTTACAATCACAACTTTTTAAAGTCTCAGAAGAAAAGAAAAACTCGTCCTTGGAATTACTTATTACAAAAGGCGTTTACTTTTTCCAGTAAGCAATAGACAGCTCGAAATATTCAAAAGAAAGGAAATTCAGCTCGACATCGAGAAGTGCTACAGCGGTGTACGGGGCATTGAGTACTTCAATGGAGGTGACAATTAAGTCAAAGGTAGCGCCACGTGTCGCCTTCGCCTCTCTTCCTGTACGACGGGCATCTTTTTCTCAGAAACATTGCGGGTATATAGACCTTTCACTACCGTTTTCCCTGCTAAAGGCACACTCGACATGATTTTCATCTGGGTGTAATTTTGAAATGTACGATTCTTTCTCCTTCTCGGAAAGAAAGCGTAAATTATAGGGGTTGCTTGAAAAGTAGCTAGCGCAGTCAAAATAATACTTGACGTTCTCTTAAAATAAATCATACATCGAATGTATCAAAAACAATATTTAAAAGGCTATTATTGCATTAAAATACATCGTATTATGCTCGCGAGTACTTATTACGTTAGATAAGCAACGTTTGCTTGTTAAACAATTTCCGACACGTTTGTAGCGCACTTACAATGCATTAATTTAAATGAAAACATTATTTTGCCACGTATACGATAAAAAAGTACCGAAATTAGTATACAGAAAGAAATTGATAATATATCAAGAACTATAAGAGTTGTAAAATTGAGTTTCCCATACCTTCCCTGGTGTTTAGTATCATAAATATTTGGTAAAATAACGTAAGCCATAATCAAAGACATAGGCGCATTAAACAATTGCTAAATAAAGCTTGAAAGTCGCGAAAAATCATATAATACGTAAGGAAAGTATGAAAATATGTTGAACTAAATTGGTGTAACGGTCATTCGACGATGAATAAATCTGCAAATCTATTTGAGAATACGCGCGTAGGGGAACTAAATCGTCTGTCTTTGTACATAAATAAACAGATAGCCATCGCACTGATTATATAATTAAAGTGCATTCATTTATATTGAATTCATTTGTATTGAATATTAAAATGGACATACATTTATTTGCATGTTTTATTCCAAATTGATATCAAGCCATTGGGTTCATTCGCATTAATGTAAGGCAATATTACGGTAGCCTAAACCAGATAAGCTAGACAACAAATGATTTCCTGATTTCAACATTTATTTCTTCGGTTACAATATTATCAAAATATCCACTGACTAGTTTTAAAAATTTTCGCACGATTAACAAACGCATTCTAATCTTACGTCTATGATATTATAAGATAATAGCGAATGTAATAATCGACAATAGCAAAATCCTTGTATATTCTTTCACGTATAATTGAACTGAAGTTATAAATATCGAATGCTTAAATTTATTTTTCAATATTACGAAACGCCTAAAATCATATAATACTACACGTAAGGATATTCTACTTTGACAAATAATTTATTGAACATGTAAGGAATGAATTAATTAAACGAGGCTTTAATTCACGGTGGTACAAACGACAATCGCAGATAAAAGAATTGGAAAAAAAATTTAAGACAATACTCACGCTTTTGCCGTGGCTTGTATTGTGGTGAGTATGATGATGATGATGATGATGATGATGAGTATCCAATTTCATGTTAGCACAACGATTAAGAGCATGAAGCCTACGGAAGAGACTTTGTAGCGAATCGGCCTCGAGAAACGGATGATCCTTGGCTACGCCGGTTACATCAATAGGAAACTGATAATCTGTAACAAAAATTAATTAATATCACTTAAACATATTGTCTAGTGAGACGTTCGAATATTCATTTGAACATTAATTAACGGTATACGCATTATTCTCCATATTTTATAATAAACGCATCTAATTTTCTATTAAATTTACATTATTAAAGTCATTTGTTATAATTAATTGTAGATTTTCGTGCACTTTTTTTCTAACATCTGCTCGTCTCTTCATCTAACATCCATTAATTTCTTATATTGAAAAAAGAAATACATATTTTTTAGGGTTTAATGTAATGAGGAAACGTAATTACCTTCGCTTAACATAAAGGCGATATGTTTTTTGTTTGTTTTTTTTTTATCTTCACGATGAATTCTTTAATAAAGCCATACGACTCGCAACGAGAGAATTAATTCACAGCAGCCACATTGACTCCTGCGGTGCAACGAAGGAATTAATGTTCCGCTTACAATACAGTTCGGGCGCATCGATTAGAGACGCTTTTACAAAGGTCTAATTGTCCTGATGCGATTCGCACAACAGTGGCCCTTTACAGATAATTAGTACTTTTATGTGCCCCTGACAAATTAATTATGTCGCTCGATGCGCCTCGAGCGATCGACGTAATTGCCTGGCGAGCTTTCTAAGTTTATTAAGTAAAGAAATGTAGTCTTTACTTTTACCATTGTTATTGTTTCCTTAATTTAAGAGGCTTTTTTTTTTTAAAGGAACGCAAAGCAAGGGAACAGTATATATTAAATAACAACAATAAAAAAATTCGATATTAAAGTAAAATAAAACTTATTAAGACGAAACGGGCAATTCTTATCCTTATCGAATAATTGTTAATTTTGCTGAATTACCTTTTTTTCTAGATTTTTTTCTACATTTCTTTTCAGAATTTCTTTGTGTATTCAAGTAATTTTTTTCGTACTTTGTGCTTGTCTATAAATAATAAGCGATTAAATTATTATAAAAAAAATTTCTAAATACTACGTATACAAAGATAGATCTTTTAAGTTATCCCGTGCGCGCTTATACCTGGGAATATTTTTTTTCACTTCGGATAATACATAGGTCAAACTGATTGTAATACTTTTAGTTTTTTACATCAGGCTTCTAAAGAGATTATCAGTTTATTAATCTATGTGTTATTGGAATAAATTGATGATAACGATATAAGAAATAATAATATACATTTGAATTTATATATTTTGATATTTAATAAAGAACATACGAATTTACTATTTTTGTAAAAATATATATGTTGGGATTAAAAATTACAAAAAAGAACACCATTTAAATAAAGATTAGGCTACTACAATGAACAATACTACAATTATTATTATACCGAATCAACATATTCGCACGATATGTTTTTCCATCATTAGTAAAATTATATGGGATAATTTTATTACTTCTAAATCTGTATGATAAATGACATAAATGTCAAATGATATTCTGTAGATAAATTGTATTAAATTTTTTTCTGATGAAATACATAAACCTGAAATCTTTTCCACTTATTTAAGCTGATGAATGCTGATGAATACTATTAACCTACAAAATCACGTATGTGTTGAATAGCGCTTCGGCAGACAGATATCCGCCATTACTGATGCTATTTTCTCAATTAACAGTGTAAAACCGTAGACATAACAAGAGCATTGACTTTACGTTAAGTCAATGCAGCTATGACTTAATCAATAAATATTTATTAAAAAATCGAAATTGACTTCCATGTTTCAAACATTTTTCATTATTATAATGAGAAATAGAGTTTATTTTATCTGTGTGTGCGTGCATGCGCGTGTGTGACATAGAGAGTAAGAGATAAAGGAAGAAGAGAGTTTACTTTTCTATATATATATATATATATATATATATATATATTATTTTTGAAACTTCAGCATTAATATGTACATTAACAGCATTTCATAATTATTTACTTATGTTATACTAGTGGACTCAATTAAATACCAAGAATACTCATTAGGAATTTGGAAAATGTATTAAGGTGGCTATATCAAATGAAAGATGCTATCAAACTAGAGTTTCTTAAAGTCGATTAAGACTTAAAGTACAAGCGCTTCAAAGTTGTTTAAAACAGTTAAATATATGTAAATTATTTATAAATATACCATCATTTTTCATATACTTAGTATGCGGTTATCCTAAGCGAGAATTAAATATGTTAGTGATATTATTTTCTATCGTACTACTCCTTTCCAGAGGAATAGTGTAGAGCAATACAATTGAATCGATTGGTAGACAAGAATCGATATTAAAATGTATTACAATTTGAAAATTAAATTTGAAAGCTCCAATATTTTTGTATAAATTATTTATAAATATTTTTTTTTTATATAAATTTAGATTCAATTTAGAGTTTTAATATCCTTGAATATAAATTTGAGAAAATATATCTTCAAAATTAATAGGGTATCAATAAGGCATACACAATAATGAAATCCGATGTCCTAATGTAAGTTGAATAATCAATAGTAAATATCTAACTACATATGTAATTTCATTTAAAATTATATTTCTTTGAGATAAAAGTTATAAATTGGCTTCTATCTAAGAAAACTGAGGTCAATTGAATATAAGAAATTGGAAAACATACGTAAATCGCAGCTAATCGAAGTAAACGTTAGCAAGTGAGTTTAGCAGATATAAAAGGTAGCTTGATACTTTTCACAGATAAATATCATCAAATTAATTTTACCGTATTTTTCATCAACTCCGTTCAAATATTAGTAGCAGTAAATTGTTATGTACATAAGGAAAGGACATATATATCACATTGTATATAAATCATTTTGATCTTTCCTCGATCGGGGGCAAAGTACCATTAACTGCTCGCTCGAGGTTCAAAACTCCTGCATACCAATAAGCGATCTATTCATCGATCGACAGATCGCTCAACCGTAAATATCGCGTTCACAGACCATTGCTTACTTCGTGCACGACTACATTTGTTGCGCGCGCTCGCGCGTTCTCTGTGTCGGTATATGTAAGACATCCATCAACGCCTTGGATATATGCAACTCTAACAATTCACGTTCCGTGGTCCACAAGACTGTAAAATTATATAAGCAAGTTGGTGAATTTTCGGGATGACATTAAAGGAAAAATAATCGAATCTGAAACTGCTGGTAGCTTCTTTTCGTATAATTTATATACCGTGGCTGGTTGGTTACGTTACAGCTTCTTAACATCATCAAAGAAACTTATTTTTCAGTTAAAATTAAATATAAAATAATAATCTATTTACATTGTGATATTTTTAATGCACTTTATCAGAGAAATTGTTTAAAAAAATTTATTAAATTTTAGAGATCAGTCTTATAGTTAAATTTTTTAAAAACTTTAAATCACTTTATTAATATAAAGAAAAAAAGAAAAGAATAAAAAAGCACACATGAAAAATTGAAAATATTTTTAGTAATCTTAAAACCAGTACATTTGATAATAACAGTATATCCTAGTCCTTACGTAAATATCTGTATTTATCCGACGTACATACACTTACATCTGTACAACCAACCTATGTGACACGTTAAGAGCAAGACAGATTCGAGTAAAGTTTGCCTATGCACGCAATATAATCGATATAAATCTATATACATGCGTAAACTTACTCATGCACATTCGTATAGGCATACGTACGCATATGCATATATATGTGACCGAGTACACACTCGCACATACGGGGCATATTCGATGAACATATTGATATCTATGCATATGTATACATACATAGCTGCGGGGTCTGAACTGGGTCAATTACACTACTATTCATAGGTTTACTATATAGTTTCATTTAGCTTCTCTCTGTTCCCCTCTCTCTTTTTTGCTCTCTTACTCTTTCTCTAACATTTTCCATTGTAACAGTCCATTTATTACACAAGTGAAATTTATATATTAAATGCAACGTCGTTCCCAGCACAATATCATCTTTGCCGATTAATGGCTAAATATACTGAAAATTCGTTTATCTATGCACGTAACTTGTTCTTCTTTATATGAACATATGATTATCGATACAAAAATATTTTATATTAAATATGTAAACAATTAAAAAAAAGAAACATTTTAACCGTACCTCTAAATCTAAATGTAGATCAGTTCATGTGCGATTGATTCGCTAGAAAAATATAGCTTACTATACGGTACTCGAGAGTATATGTAAACGACGAGGGGAAATAGTAATTGATCTTTCTGAAACAGTGAGTGAAAGAAAGGGAGAGAGCAAGGGAAAATAGTAAGCAAGAGAGGCAAGCGATTTGATCTTTGAGCTTTTTAGGACACGTAACCGTTCATGTTTTTTATAAAGAGTGTGTATAATCTACGTTACTATTCGTTTAGAAAAGTGTTACAGCGGGTGTATTTCTTTATGAAAGATTTATTGTTTTTATTTGAGCTAAATTTTTGATAAGTGTTTATATAAGTCTCATACCCACTTTAGTATATCATAAATTATAATACTTAAGATTTATTTCTTACAAAATGAATTGCTTAAATTAATTTTTTTTACATTATATACTTTAACATACAATAAGGCTACGTTTAATTTGTTTTTCTTTCCGAGTTAATTGCTTAGCAAGGCAAAATTCATTTTTAGAGCATGATTTCAATAAATGAGCGTTTAAAATATTCACTTAAATTTAACAAATCAATTTCAGATCGCAACATCACTGCCTTATATATATATATATATACATATGTTTTTTGTACAGTTTCAGTGCTCTAATACGTGAAGTAAATGGATGTGTAAAATAAACTGTAATATTACTCATTATAATTCGAAATAAGAAAACAATGTAACTGTGATATTTTTTTTACAAATATTCCGCTGCTCAACATTTTATTAATCGAGGAATTTTATTGTTAGAATAATTGTTACATCAGTACTGGAATATCACCGAGCGGCACTAACTGTTAATTCGCATTTCAAACTTTCTACAAACTCTATTTTTCATATTCATTTATATAATAATAAGGCAATTATATTATT